CTCTCTCTCTCTCTCTCTCTCTCACACACACACACACACACACACACACACACACACACACACACACACACACATACATTATCACTCGTAATTATTCTACCCTCTACAGCTCCGCCTTTCCTGTCGCCGCTACCAGATAATCTACAGCTCATCTCTTCAACTTCTCTAATTTGTCCCCTGCTCGCCACTTCCGTCGCCCTGAATGCCTTATTGCCTTTTTCAACAGGTCGCTTATTCTTATAGATAATGGAGACGGCCATTATTGTTACTCTCTTTCTTCGTTCCTCCTGCGCTCCCTTGCTTGAGCGGATGCCAACTTCACTGGGTGCGTAGTTAATCTCTTGCGCAAGCTAAGATTGCTTCACGGTCACGCTCGCCTCACTCGTTGCAGCGGTGTGCTATAGGGATCTCCTCCTACATAATGTAATATGGAAACCCATAGGCTGCGCCGCTGCGGCAGCACTTCCGAATCTCAAACAGGAGATATGCCTCTCAAACAGGAGATACGCCAAGCAACTTTCGAGCAGAAGAGAGAGGGGCACCTCTGATCCTTCCCTAAGTTCCCTCCAAAACACCCAACTAGCGTCTACCCATTCCAAGCTATCGTTCCAATCATACCATGGATTCCAAGATATCGTTCGTGCCAAAACTCACAGAAACAGACGAGCTTATAAAACGTAGGAAATTATAAGTTCATGTGCCCTGCCAAATGATATTGAAGTGAAAACTTGAAAAAGATAACACCTTGTCGACGATAAACACTTTTTCTCCTAATAATTCCATCCACATACTACGGCTAAGTTCCAAAAATAGCGCCTGGCGGTGGTTTCACCCCGTAAAAAAAATATTGGCTGGCTCCAAGTTTGGTTGCAAAAATATATCTTTCGTCGAGGCTTTCGAGGTCCAGGCCGTAGTTTCACAGCAAAACTATTTGCAGGCGCGGGTCCCTCGTTCCTTGCCAAAATAGATCTATCGGACCTCTTCAACATTTCTGCTGCGAAACTTCGAAAACAGGCTATTTCTACAATTACCCCACAATGTCATACGGAAATGCCCCACAATGTCATACGAAAATGTACACAAAATAGACCTATAATAGGAAAGGTCACTGCTCGACGTAGGTTGATTCAGGAGCGATTCGGTGAATACCTATTACTGTGCTCATCACCTCCAACGAGTTCCCTGCGATGAGCAACTTCTCCGGTGCCCAACGGTGGCATGAGATTCCGACGACTTCTCGACCCTGTACATCTCCCGCCTTCAGCTCTGCGCCAAAATAGAAGCATTGCCGCTCCCTAGCTCTCCTCTTCTCCCTCTTGCTCCACCATATTGCCAAACCCAGTGGACAATGGACATACCCGACCCTTGCGAGCGAAGGACAAAATCAAACCGCCGCCCAACTGCTAGACGACAGCGCCCTTCCCGCTCGTTAGCCCTTGGGACACGGAGTTTGAACTGCGCTGCTGAGACCCTACTGTAGGGCTGTCGAAACATATCGCTGAGAGGGGGAAAGCGCTCTGTGTGGCCCGGCGCATCTATGATCGGGCTGTACCCGGCGGGAAAACCACCATGTTCTCGCACGCCTGAATGGTTGGACTGATGAGGGTATGCTGGCAGCAAGCAGGAGGCGGGAAAGTGTCTCCTCGAGCAACTTACCAAATTTTGTTTGCACGGATTCAGAAACTGAGATGAAGGGTTGTTGGAAAAACAGAAAAGACGAATTTTTTTATTTTTTTTTTGGAGGTAGGAAGGAATTTAATTTAATAAACAGAAAAGAAAAGAGAAAAAGAGAGCGGAATGACGACCAACCGTAACGAAAAGAGAAGACGGTGAGTCTGATGCCGATAGCGATTTATTGCTTCCCTACTCAACAAAGAGCAAATTGGTGGATCGTGCTTCTTCAGCTAGAATGTGGAAATATTCATTCGCCATTTTCTCTCTTTCACATTTGGCGATCGATGGAGCAAGGGCCTATGCCTTCAAAAAGTGATGAGATCGATGGAGCGAGGGCCTATGCCTTCAAAAAGTGATGAGATCGATGGAGCGAGGGCCGATGCCTTCAAAAAAACATGCGATCGATGGAGCGACGGGCTATGCGTTCAAAAAGTGATGCGATCGATGGAGCGAGGGGCTATGCCTTAAAAAAAACATGCGATCGATGGAGCGAGGGGCTATGCCTTCAAAAAGTGATCATACCTAATGCGATTATGAATATAATGACTCGCGAAGAATGCTGATTGAAGACGGATTATAAACACTCGAAGAATGACGAGAACGAAACAAAGACAAAAACAAGGATAGAACACACTGAACTTACACGGGAGTGTGGAGGTGCGAACAACTTGAAAGAGAAAAGTAACATCTTTCTCTCCTTACCACACACCAACCTTCACCGGCTAAAACCTCCTCTCCACCCCTTCCACGCCCCCCCCCATACCTGTCTCTTATACACATCTAGATGTGTATAAGAGACAGCCTTCACACCT